CAGCTTGGAAACTCTTACTTTGCTGATGATAAAACAGAGATAACGAGGAACTGAGCTGTTGAGTGTCTAAAGGTGACAGGGGAGATGACTATTCCAGGTGTCATTCTGGACCATCATAATTCCCTTTGGTGTTGGTAGGGGAAGACATCCACGAAAACACACAAAACTCCCAAAAACTTCTCCCAGGTGCGATCCTTACCTTCACACAGTAGTCCCCAGCCACCAGGAACTTGCTACTGCAGATGCAGCCGTGGAGTCGGGACTTCTCCTCTGTCTGGTGCAACCTGTGGCCGGACAGAACCAAGGGCAACACATGCCGGTGCTGGACCCATCCCCAGTTCAGGGTTCCCTCCTGCTGTGTAGGGGATGGACTGACACGCACCCAGAAAAGCCAGCAGCTCTCTGCCTGTCTTGGTGCACCAGCCCTGCCAAACCAACCTTTCCAGCAGCTGCTGAAAGAGCCATTGTGGGCAAAATAACGGGCTTTGTGGTTGAGCAGGACCCATAAGGAGAACTGGCCGTGCTGTAGGTTGCTCCTGCAGCTGCCCTGGGTGCGGGGGGAAAGGAGTTTCTCCCTTCCAGGCCTTTGCAGGCTTGAAGCCAGATGTAGGGGCCAGTGACCAGGGGAGGTGGGCACTACTGCATCCAAACCCACCACCTGCCTCTTCACCAGCCTCCCATCCCAGTGTCCCAAGGTGGGGGAAACTGTCTAACAGGATACCAGTGCTTACTGAGAGATACCAGGAAGCTGAACACAGCTTGTGGATTGTCAGGTGGACTTACTGATTTAGGCAGGAGCTCACCTGTAAAGGCCTCTGGCGGCTCCCAAGGCCATCCGAATGCGGACCTCCCAGGAGAGATGCCGTTGCTTTGTCAGCACATCCCGCAGCGTCCCGTGCTTACAGTACTCCATGACGATGGAGAAGCAGGGGCTCCCATCTGCAAGGCAAAACCTTGAGCATCCCAGCTGGTGCCACCTCTTGGGAGGGGACCACGACAACCTGTCTGCCACCAGCTAGCGCTGGGGACAGGTAGGGGAAGGAAAGGGTGACGTTAATGTGCCACTCCCTACCTTTCTCCTCAATGCAGATCCCGTACATGCGCAGGATGTTCGGAGACTCAAACTTCTTCAGGGTCTGAATCTCCTTCTCGAAGATGTCTCTCACCATCCTGCAGAAAGGGACAGCATGGTGAGGTCCACAGAGCAAGGCATGACATTGCACCGTGCCGCCCTCCCCTCCTGGCTGCCCTGTGTCACTCCTGCCCAGGACGACTTACTCTGGGTTGGTGGTCAGTGGCCTCTTGAAAGTTTTGATGGCAACGGGGTACTTGAGGTACTCGCCCTCGTAGAGGTCATAGCTCTCGGTGTCCTGCAGGTGTCTGTAGAAGATGAGGTGGTCCCGCTCAATCTCGGTGATGTCTTCTCTTTTACCAACATTGACCTTCTTCAAGCCTGCTCCCGCCGTGCACCAAGAAGGAACGAGGGACACGTTAGGCAGGGCTTGGGGGGAGAGAACAGAGTGCACAGGGTGCCCAGAGGTGCAATGCCAACTTACACTCCATCACGTGCACGACTTTGTTCAGCTCGTTTTGCATCCAGTCTACCTTACTCTCCATGCATTGCCTGTCGATGTAAATATCCTCAGCCACGTCTTTGGGCAACCTGGTACCTGAGGATAGAAATGTGCAGCAGTGGGGCCACTGGATGAATGCACAGGACTGATGCGATTAGCTTTTCTTGTGGTTTAAATGTCTCTGAATCTCCTTGGCCATGGCCATCAAGCTAAGGCTGGGCAACAGCTGGGGAGAGGTACCAACCACCGGCCTCAGGTAAAGAGAGTTTGCTACATGCACACTTACTTGCAATCACCTGGTCCAAGAAAGCCTTGTCGTCCCTCAGGTCCTCGGCGTCCTGCCTGCGACACGTCTTTTCCAGGAAAGCCTCCAGGAAAGCCTGCTTCTGCTCTGCCTGCAGCAGGAGCGAGAGCCCCTGGGCAATGTCCTCCAGGCTCTCGTTCAGCCAGACGAACTCCTCGCCAGTGCTGTGGGCTCTCAGGAGCTTCTGGATCCAGCTGGCCTGGCTGTATTTCGTCACCAGGTTTTGGGCTTCCCCCAGTGTCCGGAGCAGCTTCTTCAACAGTTCCTCTTCGTGGTGGGAGATGTGCTGTTGCGGCTGAGCCTTGAGGATCCTCACAGGCTCCAGCAGGATCTGGATGCGCTCCACAAGGCGCTGGCACTGGTGCTTACAGCACTTCACCTGCTCGAATTGGGCGTGGATGGCCTGGGCCACGGAGAAGACCCTCTCCACGATGTCCATGCTTGCAGCAGAGGGCTTGGTCGTTGGGGATGTGGGCTGGCGGTGTCTAGTGGAGGTGAGCTTCCAGCACCAGTTGTAGATCAGCCAGATGTGGCTCTTCCACGCCTTCCACCCTAAGGAACAGCCATAACATGGCACACCACCCTCCAGGTCTCCTATAGCCCCTTACATCTCCTCCGGCTGCTTTGCTTTCTCTGCTTCACCTGGCACCGTGCCAACCAGAGCAGGCACTCGCAGAGACGTCAGCAGCAGTGGTGTTGGCACATCTCACTTGGCATTAGCAAGCGATGTTTTGGCTTGATTTATGTAAATTAATTTAGCATTAGCCATGCCTGGAGAGCTTACGCACAGCCGAGCAGGGTCAGCAACCACCCAAGGAGCATCCCCCAGGCAGCGCTCCCTGATGCCGTCTCCACACCACCCTGGGGTCCTGCCCACAGACCCTCTGGTTTTGACCATGAAGATCCATTTTCATTTCTAGCCAACGTCTCTCTCTTTAATCACCCAATAAAAGCCTTCACAGCCCTGATTTCTCCATATTTTCTCCCTATATCACCTGCTTCAGATTTTAAATCAAACTCTTCCCATATGCTCAGCATCCCTGCAGGGATGGTCCCTTCTCCCCAGCCCGTGTCCAGCTCACAGTGACAGAAAACTGCGGAAACAGGGAAATTAGCAGCAGCCACCCGTGCCCTTGATGCAGCCAGCACTGAGCGAGGGGTGCCGGGTTCTACCAGCTGGAATCGAGACAGAAACACACCAAGAAACCATCTGCAGCCACTCACCCTTCCTCTTCAGGCTCTCTCCACCACGGCCCCCAAAGCAGCAGCTCGTCCACTTGCGGAGACGAATCGGCTGG